TTCTTTCTAGTTCTCCAAGCCTGGCTTGCATAGCGGGGCTGTGGGGGCGGAGCTTGGATTTGTGACATAAGAAATCTCACTCTTTCTGAACCTGCTGTTTGGGTCTGCCAGAGATTCAAGACGATTTAAATGCAGACATACTCAGAAATGCATTTTCTCACTTATTTTTCTCATGACATGTCCTGGAGCATCAGAAAAATGCTTTATGAACAAGTAGACAACAAGACACGAGTGTCATAGGGGTGGGTCTTTAAGTCTCATCAAATGTAAAGACAGAAAAAAAACTGATCCTACATGTTAAATCAATTCACAGATTCTAGTCTCGTATATCTCACCTTAGCTGGTTAAAACTGTGGCAAAACTGTACGTCACTACTGAATACTGAAAATTTAAGTTTGTAACCAAAATAAGCCATTCAAACAAATATCATGACCTTACACACAGCTATTCAACAACTCTTTGCTTTGTCTTTAAAGTCTGGACTTACATTTACACACTCCAGCGTACAATTTTAATCCTCATTTTAATATGAATTTTCACACACATGTAGGATAACATCCTCAAACTGCTGGAAAAAGCCTCTCTTTCTCATCCAGATTTCTAGTAACCCTGCTCCCTGACTAATGGATAACAATGACTGAAGGAAAGTACAATATTCTTCTGTAAGAGCCGCATTGATTTAAGGTACCTCCAGGCAGCTGTACTGCACATGATGGATGGAGGACGTGTCAAGAAGTCCAGTCCAGTGACTATCTCTGGAGTCATGGATTATCCCCCTAGATCTTATTTTATCTCATTTCCCTACAGGGCTTGTGTCTCAGTGGACAGCTGCTCCTGTGCTCAAGGGTTGCCCGGGATGGCACAATTATGAGTACAAATGCCTCTCTTTGTTGCATTAATGGAAGCCCAACTGTTCCCCCTGCTGTACAGAGATCAGACTAGTCATCAACAACTCTTTCTTCAAACTGACTCAAATGAAGTCATGACCATGCATTTGTAGTCTTCAGTTTTCAGTTTACAGAGACTGTCCACCAACAAATAGTCAGTGAAAAGTAATTTGGCAGCTGCTCAAGTGCTGTTTGAAGAAACAAGAATATTTCCGTTGACAATGACTAACAGGACGGATAGTTTGCTTCAAGGCTTCCACCAATGACAATCCTGAATGGAAGAAAAGTGGAAATACACTATTGCTGTTCTTGGATATCCCTCACAAGGCTAAATATCATACTCAGTCTGGGGATGGTGCCAAAGAAGATGCCTTTGTTTTGCAAAGTAGTAATAGTTTTACATTCAGGGAAACACGCTTACTCTCTCGTTGTGGTTTTGATGGACAATTGAAACGGCTTTTTCTGTTTGGATAAAATGTGCAACCGAGGAAAAGCAGATATTCTGGCCCAAATGCTCGGCGAACTTACAAGTTTGCAAAGTTAGCTCTATTTGGATTATACAAACACTAAATTTTGACCTGTGAATCCTCCATTGTCTTGCGAATTTCATGACACAGCAACACTGATGTGACTTTCACTTTATCGCGTTGTAGAGCCTAACTGGCAATTTCCACCGCATCCGTAGCGGCTACGAAAAGACCGTAGCAGCCGATCGTAGCTGACCATAACCAAACAATTCAATGTGTAAATTTCCACTGGCTTCTTTCCATTCCGCTGCGGATCGCCGGACTCCACAGCTGATCGCAAGAGTTCTATTTTTTCCAGATGCTGGAGCATGCCAGATAAATTCAGTACAGATTAACCTGTGCTGGAAGGGAAGTCGGGCACAGACACAAAATGAGACACCCAGCCTCTTTTCAAAATTATATGCTTATATGGTTAGCCTATGTGGCTAAGGACAGCTTGTTATGGCGCGATTGCACGTGAATCTGCAGGTTCTCGTGAATTCCCGCTGTCCGTATCCGCCATGAAATTTGTCTCATAAATGAATCTGGTAGGAATTGGCATACGGTGAACATCACCGCCGTTCGGGATTGGAACCGTTCTGGATACAGTGGAAATCCCGGGTAGGCCACTGAACCTGATAAGTCATCTCTTATCTCTCTGAATTGCTGCCTCTCTTGACCAGGACATGCATGAAAAGGGCTTTTTAACTTAAACAAATAATGGTGAAGTGTATCTCGAAAAATCTATCCATCCTAGTTTTCTCAATTGCAAAGTGACAGACCATAACCTGTTTCAACACCTTCTATAAAACCAACCGGGAATAAGTTACTCTAAGAAAGAATAAAACAAGTCAAATCTTACTTTTAAGATTTTACTTATAATAATCTGTCTGAAGCATTTCTGGAGAGTTATTTACAAAAAGAAGTCATTTCTTGCTTTATCTCCTAGGTGTTCTTGACTCCTTTCATTCACTGTTCTGCAAAAACACCCCTGATGCAGAATCCAGCCACAGAACTATGAAGCTAAAAAGATCTTTCCCACTTGACATGTTAAACCTTTTCTGCGAAATGCTGCTTTTTCTCCTCTCACTAAACACCCTATTTTCTGGAGCATCTTCTCCTTAACAATACGAAAAAAAGAAGGACACCCTTTTTGTATTATCTCGATGTTCAAAAGAGGATTTTTATCCTTAAAGACTCCACTTGTATATCCAAAGGGTTCAATTTTCTGTAACTGCCAATTCTGTGATAAATGCAAAAGAGCATCACAAGATCAACACCATCAATTTTCAGCTGCTGTGAGAGAAACCCTGATATTAATTAGCACCTGATTCTTCAGTGATTACTACTGCTTAGAAAGCAGTCCAAGTCGCTCGTTGTGAGTAATAAAATTTTAGTCATAAATTCAGAGCTTTGTTTTGCACCGATGATGAAGAATTAATCACAGGTTTATCTAACTTAAAACACTTTTTAAAGAGATCACTCTCCACACTGTATATTATGTGTGGTACTGCTTGTACTTCATGAATTTTAATGGCAAAAAAAGTTAAATTCAACTACCAACATGTTCTCAAAAACTGTTCCTGCAGTGTGATCCTCATCCTTACTGTCTGTATGCTGAGGGTGCTCTATACACTCACAGCGTTACCTCGACCATGAACAGATGAAAAGCTTTGTTACAGCCTATTGTCGTTATTTCAATTCACCGTCACACTGTATAGTAGGAAGTCATGGTTATAGAAGAAAAAGTACAGCTGAACAACAACAATAAGATCAACTATTCTGTCTGAGAGAATGAAAATGTCTGAGTATGATAGCTAGCAAACATGCAAAAGTGCAGCTCCCTGAAACTCAAGCAGCCAAATGGACTGGCGCCAGTTTTTAATTTAACACCTGCACTCTCCCTGCTGTTACATGTCACACTGTCCTCTGAGAAAAAGGCACATGCAGCAGAAACAGAGTTATTTATTACCTTAAGTGACCCCCCAAACCAGAGCCATACTTTTCACAAGGAGCAGAGTTATCACAAGTGTCTCATTGGATAATAAACCCACTATTATATTTATCATTAAAAAGAAAACAACTAAAAAACATTAAAAGTAAAATCAGGAAAGTGATAACCACGGTGCATATACTTTAAATCAAGAAAATACCACAATAGAGTTGCAGTAATTTCGTATTCAGAGCTTGTTTTTTTTTTTTTTTTACAGATAAAAAAGATAATGTTTGCCAAAAGTCACAACTAAAGGTACTAACAAAGAAAATTTAGCTTAATTCAGATAAAGTTAAAAAAAAAAAAAATTGTAATCAGAGTTCAAGATTTGGGGTTTGCAGCTTGGGTGGCCAGCATGAGTTGAAGGGGGGCAGCCTCCCTGAGCTAAGTGCTGTTTCCGCCTCTGGATGTACAATTTAACCAACAGAAGAAGCATCCAGCTCCTCTACTTAGTAGGAACTGCACTGCAAGTGGTTTCCTTAACTAACTGACCCTCAGGATGGATAGCTAAAATTCTGATTTCTCAAGAAAACTTATTTACATTGGGTTTTGTAGTTGTTTATCTCTTAATTTTCCATTTAGTGCAAGTCATTAAGAAAAACAATAAGCCTGGAAAAAAAAAATAAATAAAATGACAATAATGTGTTATTTAGCCCTCCTCCTGTGTTAGGGTCTGCACCCACCTGTTTTTGATTTTAAATGCTTAAAAGAACCACTTGAATTAGCTTTTTTGCATCAAGACTTTTTGACTTAGTCAGGAACATCCATTTAAAAAAAAAAATAAAAAATAAAAATTAAATGGACTAAATTATAAAATGCTCTTATTAAAATTATGGCACTTGTCATGTTAGGGTCGCTGTTGACCTGCTTAGATCAATATCTAATAATTAGAGCAAAAACTAAAATCAAAAGTCTACTGTCAGGCACTGCACTGACAGTCAGATCCTCTTCCAATCATGTGAGATTTAGGAAATTCTCATTTTGCCATGTTTTTCCCTGCACAAAAAACAATGTCAGGCATGTCCAGACATGTGAGATCAGTTCAGTATAGATGTCTGTATGAGGGGTATACTGACGAAAGGCCCAGAGGACCACAACAAAAACTATTATTAGCAATATTTTCATGGATAATGAAGCCTAACAAGTTAAACTAGAGATGAGAATCAAATTGGATGATAGAGAATTGTTTTTAGTGTTATTTACAGCTGATTGAAGACACGGGTCAAAACTGACCCTTAACATGGTGGGTGCGTAGTAAAAGCTAACACAGGAGGAAGGTTAACGCTTATTTTGATGTCTAATTTATTGTAATAAATTGCAATCCATTGCATGATGATGGTGGCGCACCTATTTCTTTCTATACTCTGCAATCATTAGACAAAAATAAAGAGCCTCTAATGTTTCAAAGCATGCATTAAAGATTGTTTAAGGAAATCATAAAGGAGTTATTGGCCTTTCGCACCTCATAATGGGACAACATGGCTGCTAATTCCTGCATGGTGAGAAGCATCCCATCACCAGCTGCCCCTCTAGCCGGCCACCAGGCGGCCGGAGCAGGAAGTGCAGCAGTGAGCGCAGCATCCCAGCCATCTCTTCCTCTCTCCCTCCCTCTCTCTCTCTCTCCAGCCGTCGCCGGGAGCAGCGTGCGAGTGTGTGTTGAGAGTGTGTGTGTGCTGGGTTTTCATCTGACAGCACGCTGGGGCTGCGTTTCCTAAGAAAAGCTCAGCTCTCTCAGTTTTCCTGCCCGTCTTATTGCCGCTCTCATTGTCTTTGTCGACAGTGATAAAGAGAGCAGGTACCATCTGTCCATCCCGACTATTCATTTCGACTTGCTTTTTTCCTCTTTCACAGATGTTATGTCAACACTTTTTTTTTTTTGGTTGGTGGAGGTGGTGGGGGGGACTCCCGGTACTAATGGAATTTGTTGTGGCTCTTTTGGTCTCTTCTCTCTTGCAGTTCAACCGGGGGCCTGTTTTTGGAATAAGAAAAGCATTGCTGTTTTCTGACTTTGAGGGAAGAAAGAAGGGACTCCTCTGGAATTTCCTCAGGAATTTAATCGGACAGCCCCGGTAAGAAGACTCACTGACATCCAAAAAAGCCTGCTTATGTAGAGTGCATGCTCTTATCTACCCATACAGACTCTCTAATTTAGGATTTTTAACTCATGTCGCTCATATTTTCCATTTTGTATTTAATTACAGTTACCGGGGCTTTGCATTCTACCGCCTGGCGCTATAGTAAGTAGATTAGACTTTTTTTCTGCTGCAAATGCGTTGAAAAACAGCTCGTTGTGTGTTTATGTGTGGAATTAAGTGTTGGCTCGGTGTCTACTCCAAGTTGTGTGTCGTGCCTCGCTGTGAGTAGGAGCCCAGGGCGCATATTTTTGCATATCTTGGAGCTGCGTTATGGATATCGTAGCGCGCAACGTGCACCGCTCTGCTGCTCGCTGTTCCGCTCCAGATGGTGGAGCGATATGTACAGATTAATTCATTTTCACGTCATAATTTATAACCCGTACTGTGCTCAAAACAGAGCCATCTTATGCTGATATGATCTCTCAAATGTGGAGGACGCGCAGCCGGTTCAAAATGAGGAGGGTTGTGTGTGTTCAGTTGTTGAAGATGCTGGGAAAGTTTGGTTGGATGTGTGGTGCTGTGGAAACTGACTCGGTGTCTTTTTTTGACTGTGCGTAAACGCGCCAAAGGGCTCCTGAGTCAGGTGATGTAGACGGTGGGTGGGCTGTGACTCACCGAGTTTATCCATTTTTTTTATGCTGCTTTTTTTTCTATTCCTGACAGGCTTTGATGCCAGATATGACTGCTGATTGACAGCTGATCATGCGCAGAAGTGTGTCAGCGCAGGCCCAAGTCCCTCCCCCTTTTTTTTCCAATCCATGCCAGCTACATATGGAAGTTACCACAACCCCTCTCTCTTTTGTCAACCCTTTTTCCTCTGTGTAAAAGACAATTTGTCACTACTACAGAGAAGTGATTCACATACAGCCAATTACCCGTGATTCCCAGTCATACTCTGCAGAATGTAGAGGGAGGGGGGAAACAGTGGAAGAGCCTCTAAAAGCGAGATAATGAACTGAAAAGTTTGTGTGCTCCGCTGTTGTGGTTCCAAGCAGTCGCAAATGAGGGGCAAGGAGGATGGCTCACACAGGCAGAGAGATGTGTGTTAGTGCGGCCAGTGTGGAGTGACAGAGGGCTAAGTGAGCATGACCATCGAGGAGAGGTAATAGCATTACGGTCTGCCAGTCAAGAGGCAGAGAGAGATAGGCTACTGTTGTATTTACAAAGGGAGAGTATAGAAAGCACACAGGGACAGGGAATTATGACTTGAGGGGCAGTTTGTCTCACAACTAAGCTAGTTTAAGCTATCTTGTCTTCATATTGAGTGTCTGGTGGTGTGGAGCGGCTTAAGTGGGATGTGGAAACCCATGTAGGACTGATATAAGCTGGATTCAGCGCGGTAATGTCGCCCTAGGGTCAGATATTGGCAGATAGTCAGCTTATTTGTTGTGATTTTCCATCTATCCATCCCTTTATACATGCTCGGCGACTTGGACGTCAGCCAAATTCAACTGTGTATCCATGATAAACAACAAACATGTAAATAAACCGACAGCGTTCATGTGAACATAAACAAATCTCACAGGAGACAAACGCATGTCCTCCTGCAATAAACTGTAACATGATGAAATGTGGCAAACACAGCAGTCCTTTAAGCTAGTCCTCCCTGGAGCTCAGAAGTGGATCTGAATCTTTCTCTGAGTTTTCTGGCACAGCTTTCAAGGATTAGTCCCAGGTAGGAATAGCCCACCCTCCTGCCTCTGCCCATCCTTTAGCCAGCAGCACTCCCCATCTTATAAACGGGTCAACATCCCGCAATTTTCTTTCCCTTTCCCTTTTCCTTTGAGTGATGCTTTCCCAAAACTGCTCGCCAGGCCCCGGCATCAATCACTGCTGGATGGGATTTGAGCAAAAGAAGTGAGGAGTGGTGAGTAAGGGAGCGAAGCTTAAGAGTTGTGCAGGTTGACCCAGAGGGCTTCAGGTCTGGAGCTGGATGTCTGAAAATCTTTTCCTCTCTTTTTAATTCTGCTTTAACACACATCAGTGTGGGGTGACTGTGTGGAAAATAGATCCTCTTCTCCTCTTACTTGCTGTACCTCCCAGGCAGGGGTGTGTGTAGAGAAGTTACTGGAGTGGCATGGCCCCTCTTCAAATCCCCCAATCCTAAATTATGATTTGGTTTGTACCCTGAAGGAAGTGGGACTCATTTTAACCCTTAGAACTCCCAGCTATATTTTGCAACTTTTGGTCTGCCTGTTATTTATTTATTTTTTGTAAAAATCTATGCAGCAACTCTATCCTTTCAAGCACAGCAGATACACATCTTTTCAGTACAACCTCAGCTGTCAGTTTATGGGTGCAAAAATTATGTAAAATTAATGTGACAGCAGATTCAGAACCATCAAAGTCTATTGATACCAATACGGAAACTGATACCAACAGTACTTTGCATGAAAAACACATAAATCTACAGTGACCAAGCCTTTTCTCACCTGCACAACATTCTGTTAAGTCTTGGCTATCAGGAGAAGAAATATTGGGATTGGAACAAACACACAACAGAAACTATTTACATATTTACACTAATTCTTCCAGGCATTTTTTACTATTTACAGTTGTTTTTGCCACTCCTTGAAGCAGTTCCTGTCTGGAATGAGACAGAGGGCCACATCATACTGCTCATAATCTCTGCTTGTTTCCAAGCATTGAGGATCATTATGTCCTATTTTGCAGACAAGCAGGGAACTTTCTTGTCTCTTGTTGATCTTTGGTTGCCTCTTATTGGACACTACCAACAAGGGAACAAAAAAAGAAGAATATGAGACCGTGTAACTGGTCAAAAGTTTGACAGAAAAAGATATCATCAAAACAGCTCATCAAACCCAGAAGGCATTAGCGGCATTTAGCATAGCAATCTTTTTTTTAATCACAACAATAAGATAAATTATCATGTTTTCACCAGTATATGACTGCGGATTTACCATCGAATGTCTCTGATCAAACACCTATTTTTGTGGCTGGATTGTAAACCTTGTGGCAGGTGTAGAAATTCCAGAAAACCCTTGATAGATCGCCAAAAGGGAACGCTTTTGAACACATTTTATACCATAGAGATACACAGTATAGTTCCTGAGAAACTGTAAACAACATTAACAGTGTCACATGGGATCGCCGGTGATCTAGCAAAGTTCTAAGTGTTAAAATCAACTGTTTGGATATAAATATAGCACTTTTTTTTTTAGTGGTACTTCAAATGATAGAAAAATACTTCACACCTCAGTTTCACAAGACAGATGTGTTGAAGAGGAATCAGGCCATCAAAAACTGCCAGTATACTCCTGCACACTGTCTGGCTGCCAAAACTACATTTATTGGCAATGTTTAGGGAAGTGTTGCCAACACATTTTGTATTTTCAAGGTACTTAAACTTGTGACTTTAGACATGCATTTTCTTTATGAATCTTGAATGAGATCATACACTTATGTTTGATCTGTATGACCCTTTAATGTCAGCTGTATTACAAAGAAGCTAAGATAGGACTTTGCGGCAGGGACACCCCATGTCCAAAAATCTAGACACGCTCCTCTTCCCTGGAGAGAAAGAGGAGCAGCTGAAGAATTTGTTCATAAACATCATCCAAGTGATAAAACCAGGACATGATCATAAAGACAGCTGATATTTAATGATACATGGATTTTTATCACTGCTCATTTTTGTGAAATCTGGACCCGGTTTTTGTTGGATACTGCGCTGCATGCAGTTAGGTCAAGATTTTTAAGCAACAGACAAATATTGGGTTGAAAAAGCAGGGGAATAATGCTCAGTTCTCTGCAAAAGAAAAAAGGTAAAACAGAGGGTTATGAGCTGTGAGATGAAGACCTTCATTGTGGTCCAAGCCTCGGCAAGCCGACTAGCTGACTCCCATGAGCCGCTTTATAATGAGCCCGCGCTGTCAGATAATTAGATACACCTGACGCAGGCGTTTTCAGGAAATTTTGATTCATCCCAAAATAAAAATCTCTGTGCCTGCCAACATGAAAGCCGAAAAAAACTCTACCCCGCTGCCACGTTGCCTCTCCTCTCTTTTCCTCCTCTCTCATGGCGGCAATGTTTTATTTATTTATCCACATCTTAATGCTCTTGGATGAGGCGGGATTCATTTTGAGCTAGCTGATGCATTAGCTGCCAAAGTTCCTCATCTTGTTCCCATCCCATGCAGCCAAGACTCCCTTGGCTGCAAGACACACAGAAGATACCATCACTTTAGGACTTTGAGACTGAAATAGGATGATGAAAATCTTTCCTTAGAAAAATGTGCTTCACACAAGTATAGGTGAAGCCTATGCTGTGAAATGTAAGCAGCACAGGTGTCTATGAGAAAGAGAGGCATATTCATCTTGAGGCGTTTGTTTTCCTTTTGTGCTCAACTGATGATGTTTCAATACAGAAGTGAAATTTTTGCAGATTCAGAACTTGATGGATGATCATGCAGCTCATCAGCCATCTTAAGCACATGCTGCGTACCAACCAGCAATGAATGATAAATTGATTTCACACACAGACGCATGCAGACACACGATCGCGCTCAAGCCCATGCATACAATTTGAAATATGTCTTTTTCTTGGATGTTGAGTGGAAAATGCTGCACGGGATGAAACCTGCTCACCCGTGTGGCGTATTTATCAGGGAACATGGCTCGAGTCATCAATCAGACACTCATTAAGTTGTTAAACAACAACTTTTGTCTTCAGCAGGAGACATCAATGCTATTAAGCCTGATGTATGTGATATAGCAAGAAGGTGAATCATTGCAGGCTGCTTTCGTTATCTGATTAAGACGAGCTTTCTTTTGCTTTTTTGACTTTTTAAAGGTGTTCAAAGTTAGGATCGAAGTTAAGAAGAATAATCAGGATGTTGAAGGTGTAGGGATAAAGCTGCTAAAATGAGCCATCTGTCTGTCATTATATGTACGTACTTGAAGACTTGAATACACCCTCATTTTCAATCAAGCCGTTATCTCAAGCATTATACAGCTCATGCAAAGGTATCCAAAACTGCAGTTCCCGAAGTGGCCACTGGGGGACGAGTCGAAAAACAGTCAATTCCTATTTGACCCAGCAAATATAAATAACTGAGAACATAGTCCTAGAATTTTTTTAATTTTACAGTACAACTTAAAAGTGATTGAAACTTCATACTGTTTTATATCAGAATGTTTATTTGTGTTTAATCCAGGGCTTGGAAACCTACAGCAAGAAGAGAACACTGCTATTTAAATCTCAGGAATATAAATATAACTTCCTGTGTGATTTCTTATGAGCCAAAGACTGTATAGACATTGATGTAGTTCCTGTTCGTCACACATTGATCTCTGATTTAGCTGAACTCAGGGTTCCTACACAGTTGGAATTTCCCTACTTTTCCATACCCTTCTTTTTAGAATCATTTTAGGAAATACCTACTTTTCTATTTTAGAAAAGAGGATTTTATAACTGTGCTAATGTTGTCTGTTAATATAAATATTTTTCCACACTTTATTTTTTATTTACCTTACTTTTAAAGACCTGGGAACTGATCAAATTACTTTGATACTTTTCCATACTTTCCATACTTGCGTAGGAACCCATTTACTATGACTGTCTTTAGCCTCCTTGCAAACTGCTGCGTGACTACACCCCCCACTTATGCAAATTTATGCATCACCCCCAACCTTGATATAACAAATGTGGATGTGTTATAAGGACATTTAACCCCTGTGGATTGTGTACATAAAAAAAAGGGCTATAAAGACTAATTAATCTTTGCATCCAGGCAGCAAACACGATTAATTCTGCTGTTAATGCATATATTTTCAAATGAGTTTCAATGGGGCTACCCCATTGATTTTTTGCAGACAGCCTCAAGTGGACAGCTGGGGAACTGCAGTTTTTGCACTTAAGTGATGCTTCATTTTCCAACACGTAGTTTGCCACTTGGCAAAAAGAGATCATCGGAAGTTAGCGCTGTAGTTTTTTCATCAAAGAAACTCAAACAATATTTTATAGATTTATCAAGATTTGTGCTAGTTGGCCAGCATAAATAAATACAAACACCACGCCTTCCCAGAGCATGGAACAGGCACACAAAATTGCAAGATTGCAAGAAATCAAATACTAATCTCAAGGAATTGAAACAGGATGATGTCTTGGCAGCTCCATCCATTATTCATACAGTTTGCATCTACATGCAAATCGTTATTTTCATACATTTATAACATATCAATTTGTTTACCATGCTCAAAACACTACAGCAGGGATGTTATTGAGGGGACACTTCTTGCGGCAAATCTCATGTCAGGTTGATCACATCATCTAATCTGGAGCATATTGTCTCCCTGTGAACAGTCAACAAGGTTCCCTGGCCTTCCTGCATCACTGGTGAAGCAGTGAGAGAAATTCAGCTCTGAGCAACTGTCACAACATGTCATGATTGCCAATTGTTTGGTTTAAATTGCCATGGGTTTCTTACTCCGCGCAGCATTCAAAGCAACACCGTGGGGCAAAGGCAATAATATTTGACCTATACGATTCAATTCTGTAACATTTGAATATGCTGCATTGACATTTGAATGAATTATAGAAAGCTGGTGTACTGTGCAGAGGCTTCGCCAAGCGGACCCAACATGATTACACTGTGCTTCTCATTAGAGCTTTCAAAGGCTTTGAAATCACGGCAAACTGACCAAACATATATCTGTGCTCTATTGTACTTTATTATTTCCTACTGAACTCCTCTCTCACGGTAGTAAGAGTTCCTACCCAGGTTCAGCGATGCATGATTTGAAATTCACCTCATCCGTGAAGGCTGGGGCGGATGTTTCCCTTCTCTGCTCGACTTCCTGTATTGTTATTGCCTTAAGAAAACCCCCGCGTCTGTGCTGTGCAGTTGAACTTGGAAAGAAACAAAACAACAACCAAAAAGAAAGGGAAACAAAAAAAAGCAGCAGTTGCCTTCTGTCTGCTCTTACATGACAGGAACTCACGAAACTGATGGATACAGACAAAACAGGAAGACAAGAGGAGAACTCTGACCTGGGTCAGAATCACAGCCCGGGGTAATAACGATGTATGCCAGGCTGGACGAAGTATCATGAAAACTAGAGTGTACTACACAAAACCAACAACAGGAACACAGACCAGAGCTTCAGGTTTTACTCACGGTTCAACTAAATGCCTTATTATCAACAAAAATGAGGGTATCCACCAGCTCTTAAGGAGTCAACTGGAGAAAAGGATGTGTTAACATGATAGCACACCTTATGCTAGTTCATTGAAATGATGTGCTAGCTTCGATAATGGCTTTCAAAGAGCAGATAATGCTGTGATCTTGAACACTGACTCTTATTAACAAAAGTTCTTCCCCATTATGTGAACTCTACCTATTCTACTTCTTTGTAAATGCTACGCTTCGAGCATTCTTCTGCTATTTTTCCTCCAAACAGATTTGGGAGGGCACTGGTATGTGCAGTATTGGCATTATGGTCTTCGGGGATATGGAGGCACAGAAGAAAAACAGAGAGGAATAATGCAGGCAAGCTGGAGCCAAGGTACTCTGCACAGCTCGATGCTGCTGCCTCAAACCGACATGAACAAGAGAAATCAATTAGACCTACTCGGTTGCTATCCAAGGGACATCCACCATGGGAAAGGGTAAAGGGAATCAAAGTGTTAGGGAGGGGAAAAAAGACAAAACAAAAAAGAAGTGTAGCACAGAAGAAGAGAGGAGTGAACTCGAGTGTCAGTCTGTTATGCTTTCTGTCAGATCAGCCGCCTCTGACCTCCAGATAACATTTAGTTTGAGCCACACATGCTTTATAATTCCAGACACTTGCTTTTTAAACAGCAATGTGAAGCTCCCACTCTTACTTTCCTTTCAGGTCAGTAATGACAAAAAATGAAAGGCTGGCAAATATGTACCTGGCAAGTAAATCTTGATGAGGCATTCACAGTAATCTCAATGTTCCCTGGCAAGTTGTAGATTCAATGCAAAATGTTTCTATTCCTACCTTAAAGCTGCCAGAGAAGTCATCCGGAGGTCACTGTGAACGTTTTCTCATGGGCGCCGGGCTTGTTTCGCTGAAAGAAAAGAAAATAACAAGTCAGACTGTAGGGTATTATAGGTTAAAAAAAAAAAAGTTGTATTCAAACAGGGCTTAAGGTTTTAAAATCTCCTTATTTGGCTTTAGAAAAAAAAACTCCAAAGTCCCTGAAGATTAAAAAAAAGATTCTTCACACTGAATATGAAATAGTCCAACTATTATGGTAAGATCAGAGAAGCTAGTATCCACAGCGAATCATTTATTAATTATATTTTACAGCCAGCCAAAGCACAGTCTTGCACGAATTCGAAAATGTATGCCGTGCAACAGTAAATGCAGAGATCCTACGAACCATCCTGATTAAACAGATACTTAAAATCAATATGTAGATTTTCAAAAGATCATGAGAAAATTATTGTGCTTCACTGAGAAAGATGATCGAAAGAGAGAAGCCAATTGATGCTTTATGCATATTTCATTGACTGGAGCTGTGCACTGCTCTGTAAATAGTGAGGTTGAGAGTGCACAGCATGGATTTCACAGGACCCGGAGGCCTCATCCGCTTTGATCAGACTGAAAGACGACACTTTTTGATCGAGCCCCGCCTCGAACATTTAAATCAAAACCTCCCGACAGGCTCAGCCGCACTAAAGCCAGGAGATAGGATGTAATCTCTACACATAGGAGAAAGTGGACACCCCTGGAAGTGTGCTAGAGTCTATTACATTGTACATTTTGAATCCCCCCCTCCCAGTTTTCGCTTGATGAATATCTTGCATGTCGTGATAGGAGACTGGAAATCCAATTTGACAACCAAGACATGTCTGAGGGAGTCTTTTTAATGCTTATGATTGGATAAAGTCTGGAAGGATTATTGAACAGGAATCTATAACTTTTTTTTTTGATTTAGATATATATTTATCCTAAATCTCCCGCAGAAGAAATGGGAATGAATAAAATATTACAATAAATATCAAGTTAAACTGTCAAATATTTCAGCTAACATGCAACTTAGAGCTCTTATGAGGCCTGATGATGCCTGAATATAACCTTCAAAGTAAACGAGATTATAAGCATCAAGACCGACAGTTTCTGTTTGGTTATTTTTTTATATCTAAAATCATGGCAAGAGGGGAGGTGATGGGTGACTTTTTTTTTTCACATTTTGCACAAAACAAAATAACAGTCTCATAAGCGATACATTAACAGCTGGAATACAGACATGTCATGATACGATACGATACAATACAGTCAAATACATTTCAGTATGATATAATAAGTAAAGTTTAAGATTACATGCTTTTGGATTTTGTCAGTTAATCTACAGTGCCAAGCATAAGTTAGTACACCTCTTATTTAAAGTAATGTATTACTTAATATCTAGATGAGCAAAATAACATTTCCAAAATTTAACAAAGCTGAGTTTAACATGACAATTAATTTACCATAAGATGAAAATAAGGGTGATATGGTAACTAAAACTAAGCTTTGCTCCCAGGACTTCAAATTTGTTGTATACAACTTAAAAATTTTGTTTGCAATCAATGGCCTACAAGGGGTGTACTCATCTGTATCTTCCCTCCAAGTGAGTCTAGTTTTGCTCACGTTTCTTGACGCTACATTGTCTTGCCACTGCTGCCAATTTATGGTTTATATTGTATAAATATCAGGTCACTCTGGCTTATTAATCACAGATACTGTCTCGGTATGCTCCATACGCAAAGTGTCTTGAGGAATTAACTCTGTATGAGTAAAAGCGGATTGATTACGATCGTAGAAAGAGTGCAGAACAACCAACCTGGGGATGCTTAATAGACCGAGTTTCAAGACTTTTCATCATAGTCTGGGTAGCAATTTCTGCGAAAACCTGCTATGAAGGGAACCAACCCTACAGACTGGAAATTAAAATTAAAATGGAAAAAAAGAGTCATGTGCCCATCTGATGATGAAATTTCCAACAGAAGCAGCTTAGGAAGTTGTGTTCCATCTCTAATCCTGTGTGTGCAGTTTGCTCAGTCCCCTGACAGAGCACACATGTAAACACAGCACCCCCACCTCCCACTCAGCCCTGCTGTAGGTTTGGCTGTGGGTGCTCAGCAGATCCCTCGGCATCATGAGAGAATAACAATGAGGGTTTTGGGAGGGATCAGTTCCCCAGCACAGAGCCATACTGGGTAGGGTTTATGTAAGACCCTGGCTTCCTGAGCTCGCTGCCAGTTTAAGATGACAAACAAATGGTACAGAGGAGTGCCGCCTTGCCAAAGAAGGAATGGGTTGGGGGGGTGCATCTCTGCTTCATCCTCCCTTCACACACCAACACCCTCCTTCTGTTCACACACAAGCCTGGTTATGTGTCGCGGCTTGCGATACCAGGTCTCATGTGTATCCAAGCAAGTTGATGTGTGTTTTCACACCATTTGTTGGCTCCGCAGCGCTGTTGCCTACTTTAAAGCCGCCCCCTCCTCGTCTTATATCCACCTTTTCCTCCCTTTGTTTTCCCCTTCAATATGTGCCAATGAAAGAGGGCCGGGATCTGTCAGAACCCATCCTTTCTTCTGCCGTGCTTGTCAACTTTTTTTTAGAGGTAGACTGCCACGGAAATTCACTCAGCCCTGACACCCCAGTGGTTCTTAAAATATCAAAAAACAGGAGAAGCCGGAGTTCTGTCTCTCTCAATGATACAACTTTGGTGTAAAAAATAGTGTACGGTATTCAGCATGTAGTTTGCATTATAGACATGCTACAACTTCTTCAGGATCTCACTGAAATACAAGGCGTTTGGAGAACGATGTACCTAAACGTCTAAAACTTAGTTTATAGCTGTAGCTTTTTCTTTCAAATATTAATAAGTGTTCAAATAAATATGTTACAATAGTAACTCTGATATATAATACAATACAGGAAAATGGCATATAGTATATTGCAGTATGTATGTAGAATTCAGTAAACTGTATATACATATATACTGCATATATACTCATATATACTGTATATCCTAAACTGTATACAGTATGGTACTGAACCGAAATATAGGATGGTAAAATCTTCAAAATAAAAGCATCACAATTAATTGCAGCACTCTTGTTTTGCCTTTCCTGTATTTGATTGTTTTTTTTTCCATGCTTCTCTATGTAAATACTGCAATAATATTGTTATTGTAATATTTTATGGCCATGATAATTGTGAGATGAGGGTATGATAATGTGACATCCTCATTCTGCATAATGCATGAAAAAATTTTGACTGCACAACCCCTAAGAAACGTTAAAAATACGGTTCAGAAATCTCCTGAGAATTTTAAGAACATCTCACACGATTTAAAGGCTAAATGCGTAAATTTAAAAGAAAAATGTGTAGACATAAAGAAAAGGGCAGTTTCTCAATTATTCACCTACCCAGGCACTGTAAGAAGACATGTTGTAGACGGCATGCTCTGACATGCAGTCCAGACCAAGGTCTCTCTGTATTCCAGCACAGCACAGAAATACACCATAGATAACATTAGGATCCATTGACTTGGGAATAAGGGGGAAAATCGATGTAGGGTGAAAATTAAATTTGGCCCAGAGAGCCTTTAGCCAAAGTGCAATTTGAAAACACATCTTTTATTTTCCCCCGGGCGTCTGAACGGGGTAGGCAGGAGATGGAAGGAAGATCTAACCATCATGGAAAAAAAAAGACAAGAGGTACCCTGTGAAGCGAGGGAAACACCTCATCTAGCTCCTAATGTGCCTCCCCTTTGATTGTCTAATTCGGTTAGGGCCGTGTGTCCGTTATCGGATCATATCAAAGGTCAGAGGCGTCCTGTAGACAAATCAATCTCCCCGTCTGAGGAGGCGCAGAGGAAGCATGGATTGAGGGAGAGCCGATCCATCTAGTGGGCCCAGAGTGAGGGTGAGTGAGGAGAATGAGAGGTGGGGGCAAGAAAAATAATGGCATCTGCTGCTAGGAGAGAAGTGGGCGAGGAAGGTGAGATTGAACTGTTGACTTGGGGAATGTGAGATGCTCAAAGAGGGAAAAAGAGGAGTTAACGTTATTGCTTGTAGGATAAGAGAAATTCTCTGAGAAGAGTTGACCAGATTAGATGAGCCTAACAAGCCTGTGATTTGTTCAAAGCAAAGCCAAGATTTGGGACTTGAAATTGTTTTCTTTAAGAATTTTAACTCAAGTTTTCCATGGCCATTAAAAACAAACAAATCTACAGCCCTTTGGTGGACACCACTACCAGACATTATCAGCTCTGTGTGGGAATAAGGGTGAGGATAATCCATGGGCTGCTCACCTCATGCGTGACCTACCATATTCAGTTCAGTGTCCGTGTCAAATCAACCAAGTGAAAATCAAAAATGAGCAATTTGGAGGAAAGTTAGATAACGATTGTGATTTTTAAAAAGGTCTGGTCTTGCATGATTGGTGTAGGTAACACAAGCATGACCAATCAGAGTGGCCTGTCTGCTGTTTTTTTCTTTTTTTTAATATCCCCCAAAAGTTTTCCCTGTTATCACAAAAAAACCCAACAATTTTTCTCAAAAACAAAAAAAAAAACAAACAAAAAAAAAAAAAATACCTGCAACATAAGTTAAGGGAAAAAAAAGGAGTAACTAATCATAAAGGGAATATAGAGTAAATTAAAGGTGTGGGGCTTCCATACCTTTCATTTGTATGGATAATTAAAAGGCAAATGAGCAATTATGCATTGCCACTGCATCATGTGCAGGACCAAGGTCGCTCACAGTGTTGTGGTATGGGTTGCATCTTAAAGACTAATGAGTTAAGGGCTTTCATATTCAGTTCAGTTAATAAAAAAAAACTGTTTTGTTGTCCTCTTGGTTTCACTCTCAAATCACGCTTCTTGAAGATATACGTGAAAAAAAAAGTCACTTTCAACATGTCAAAGATTGAAAGATTAATCAACAAAAGCCTGTCACTTTATAATTAGTAATGCAAATGTTCATTAATTGAGTCAAAGTCAAGTCCCGTTAAAGGTTGTTGAAGAGAGCACTGCTGTACTGAAACCACCATTTATCATTCCTCATCTGCCTGAATATTTGAACCAATACTCCAGAGCTCTTACAATTCCCATTAACAAATAGTTATAATTAAACCACCCATGCGTAAACATGGTAGTGGTGGGCAGCAGTCCTGGGCAGAGTTTAAAGGTAAGTATAAATCATCCACAGTTTAATGGCGACGAGATGTTTATTTTGGAACCCCTGAGTGCGTAATTAGTTCAATTAGCTCCAATCCTGAACATGCAGAATGGACTCGGGTCACCCTGTGGTCCGCCTGCATTAAAAGCCAACGGTTTATTTCCTGCTGTAAGATTAAAACTCACGGCGCAATAACTCACCGGAGCCTGCTCTCCAGACACCATAGCGAGGGTTCACTGTGAGATAATGTTTGCTCAAGCAACTCTCAATGAGATGCAGCACTCCGGTGACACCATTACTCTAAGCTCATTGCCTAGTCAGGCTGGGTGGGTCTACCCTGCCTCAGAAAGTCGAAGCGCACAGGCGCCAGAGAGAGAGAAAGCACCTCTCGAGACAGATTACACGTCTGTGGACAAGTGAATAGGCTTGCACTTCACCTCTGCCTGAGACAAGCGGGTTATTATCTTTTTTGTTTTTTTTGTTTCACATGCTCTTGCCAGTCATGTAATGCATCCAGGACAAGATGCTCACCCTGCAGCCCGAGCAGGTGGACGACAAGGCAGCTTACACGTCTTCGCTAATTGCAGGCAGTCAGCGAGACCTATCAGAAATGAGGATGATGGCTCGGGCCCGCAGTGAAAGTCAAAGCAGCCCAGGCCCGAGCCAAAGTGTTTTAAATGGATTACACCAGTGTGTCATTGCGATTACACGCTCCTCGCAGGGACCGGGACAAGATGAATTGTATTTTATGGCTTTACGGCGGATCTCTTTTCTTTCTTTTCTCCTTCAACTTGAATGCATTTCTTCCCTTATACTTTGTTACGTGGTTTGAATGTGGGATTGTTTTTTTTGTCTTTGAACTTCCTCGCAAACATTTCATGTGTAATACTTTTGCTTAAAGGGACGTTTTCTGTTTATCTCTGAGCAGAGACACCATGTATACATTTACATTTGCATGCTTTTTAAATGATATTCTTGGGCTTGTTTTGTATGGTTAAAACACAAGACTTTGCCCTTAACTTGCACTGAGCACAAAAACATGCTCTGAACAGTGAGGCCTCTGAGAATGCTGCAGAACAACAAATACAGCAGTTTTCCATACACCCCCTATACACTGAGAGTTCAATAATTCAACTGACGTCTGATAAAACTATTTCATCCACCTCTTTCTTGTCTGTCCCACATTTCTGCGACTTCCTGTCGTTTGCAAGGCCAGGCATGTACACTCACTTATATGCACGGTACAGCATGCGCCGTAAAGCTGGCTGATAAAACCAGATTTAATAAGAGTGCTTCAAGAGTGTCTCCCAATCCCAACTTCATCTGGACAGAAGATCAATATATATGGGGGGATGTGTGTGTGCGAGCGGGCAGAAATGGTTATGAAATCTTATGTGAGGGAGAAAGAGGGAGATTATGTAATGACGGAAACCATTAAGTAGGAAAAGGCCACGCGGTTAAACACTCCAGAGCTCTGCCGCAACCCAGAAGGACAAGCGTTCCTAACACACCCACTAATCGTACTTTTGGAGGCATTTCTCTAACAACTTTTAATTGCACCGACTTTCTGCTTCCTGTGATGCACAGTCTTGGTGGGACTTGTCGAGGCACACTGTTTGCAGCCAGTGTGATGTGGGGGAGTATTACATCTGGTGCTGTACTGGCGGAAATAACCCCTCACACAGGCCCAGGCAGAAACTGTTAGATTTGTGTATTTGCATGTAGCTACAGACGACCAACAAGGGTGTGAAGTTGTACGCCTGCAAGTAGTCATCTGGTCCCCGGAATGGGCGGGAAAAGTTGGTAGGATGGAGTCTGAACACATT